ATCAGAACTAATACAACTTCCAAGATACGTAAAACGCTCCACAACTTCCAGTACCTCTCCCTGGATTGTGAGGGGCGTGTTCAGTGACTGCAAGTCCACAATCATGACCTTACACTTTGTGGGTGCAAAGTGCATACCAAAGGACGGGATGACTTTGGTCAGTTCATCCAAGACTACTTGCGCCTCTTCCTCCTGTTGGAACATGAGAACGATGTCGTCTGCATATTCCAGATCGACAAGGTTGTCTTCACAGGCTAAAGGGTGTTGGAGACCCTGCAGCGTTCGTCTCTATTTCATCGATCACAAAGTTAAAAAGGAATGGAGAGAGTGGGCACCCCTGACGGACACCGCTTTGTGTACGGAAGCTTTTGGAGAGCTCTCCGTACACTCACACGTCCGGAAGTCTGAGAATACAAAGAACCTATCACGTTTACAAATTCAAATTACGGTTCAAATTGCGGTTCCCGAGATGTTTCCCACGGATAAATGTGGATCTCGTTTGCAAGAAAATTTAGTGAAAATCCCCACCGCATGAGACTGTGATTTGAATCGGTGTGTGTACTGCAGAATGGTCGGTAGCGAATAACCGAACCTCATTATCGGTTGTTAATGGCGATGTAATCAGTTAATTTTTATGCAATTGGGGAACTCCAAGCAGCACCACGGCGCCAGCTAAGTCTCAATTAAGTACTACGAAGAAACGGCTGGTGGGCGGCACAAAGCTGTAGCAGGCACCGATCACGAACGTGGCGCATTTCGCGCGTGACCGCGCCTCTGGACCGTCAGTCTGACGAACGGAGGTTCTTACTTATACGTCGAGGTCTTCAGCTTTGGGGACTAAATCTGGACTCCTTCTGGCGGGAAAAAGTGACTGGTTCAGTAAGTGTTTTAGGTGAATTTGATCCACAATTAATCGGTGCGTAAATGGACACCATAAGTAAGGACCGGTCATTACTTCAAGTAGTACCAGTTGTTATGGAAACGTACGGTCGGGCGGCAGAAAATCCACCGTTTATAGATGTCTAGTTCAACTATATTAATACCAGCAAGAACCGCTGCTTTGACTACAGGATCATTTAAAGTCCTTGGATGACAGATGCCGTAAACTTGGTCGTTGTACTCGGATCATGTATTCGATTTTTGGAAATGCGGCAATTGTCAATCGATGAAGTGTTTGGAATGCGTGATAAGATAACCTGCTGGCCTATTCAATTCATTGTTTAAAGCTGTGGTGAATACAGGGGTCTGCTGTATGAACAAGGATTCGAAATAGCAAACGCGAACAGTAGCATGCAGTCGGCCACTTTTCTGGATACCCGAATGACTTACATACAACTGAATTCCTCAGAAGGGTCATTAGTAAGTGGGACAGGAAGTAATTTAAAAGATAATGATGGACGAAAACGGTATGCATCAGTGTTGGCGTATCTTCACTTGTCCATTCTACGAGGTGATTGTGACGACCCTACTGATGTCTCAACGCGATGGCTGATATTGCATGGAAGCATCGGTGTTGAACACTGGTGTCATACTGTCGATGATGATGATATTGCATGGAGACATTTGAGTTTGTGTTTAACTAGCTTCCCAACACATCTGCGGAACCCAAGTGACGGGAAGAGACCCGGCCGACAATGAAACAATGTATTTCATGGTTGTGTATAGGTTAATATTCTACGAGGTTTCTTACTTCGATGATGATGATATTGCATGGAGACATTTGAGTTTGTGTTTAACTAGCTTCCCAACACATCTGCGGAACCCAAGTGACGGGAAGAGACCCGGCCGACAATGAAACAATGTATTTCATGGTTGTGTATAGGTTAATATTCTACGAGGGCACCTTGACATTAAGAGCCTGATCGCAAGGAAGCGACAGGTACCATACGACTACAAAACGGGTCTAAATTTTGAGGGCCGTTTTGTCACACTTGTTTGAGGAAGACCAGGAGTATCTGTTTGTCAGATCCCCATCCATTGGTCAGCGTGGTGGGGAAGACTGGATGCTGCATAAGCATCCTCTAGTATAGCTCAAAGTGCTACTGAGATGCTCAAACCATCGCATCACGATAAGGTCTAGGCCATAGTGTGTTGTACCTTCTCCAGCAACACTGCTGCTGATGTTGAGAACCTTGATGTTGGTGGGCGTGGAAGAAGGGTCAAAATAAACCAGAAAAGTAGACACATTCATCATCAGCGCTCATGTTTGAGTAGGATATTTGTGTAGTTTTTTCTGATTATGAAAGTTGCTAATTTTCAACCAATTCGCGTAGGTTGGTGTCTATGATAGAGCTCGATGACGCTGGTGCCATTATTGCCGTTAGCCCGTTCGTACTTATCGGGTCTTCATACCGTCCTGTGAATGTCTGCAAATGATGCAAGCTACGATTGATGATCAATACTCAGTGATGATGAGGGCTATCGAGTTACAGTCCAGGATGTTTTGGAGCTGACATGAACACTCCTCTATCCCTCCGGATTCGCTTACACGGGAACAGCCGGGTAATCCCACAATAAGACGTTCTTTGTTTATCTGCTTTTACTTAATAGTTACACTTTTACATACCTCAATCTCTTCTGTGACCCCGAACTAATAGTACACAAATCTATTTTCAGCCTGGGTTTCACTGATGATCTGGTATAGCCACCCAGAGAACAACTGTTAGTTATTTCTTCTCCTCACAGAAAGTTTATCATTTCCTGAAATGGAGTCAGATGACAGTGATTCGTCAACTTCGGACGAAGAGTATGTGCCCCCAGGTATGTTATATCCGATAAGGTTGGATACTTTTCAAAGCGAAACTTTCGAAAACCGAATGTGATAGCGGCGATTCCTCAGAGGACGAAAGCAGCGTCGAGGTTTCGGACGATGAACTTGAATGTAGTTCTGAGAAACGGTTAGAATTTTTTGGTTACGTTTATTTTCTCCAGACACTTGGCAGACGAGGACACATCTGCTACAGTACGTTGCAGTTTCAATAAAAACCAAACAGCCAATAATAATCAGGGACCCTCCATGCATGTTAATGAGGAGGAACGAAAGGCAAAAGAGGATGCGATTTGGGATGACTTCCTATCTTCTGTTGAGAATCCGACAGTGACAAAGGTACGAGCTGGGAAGTTAGTATTTCTTGAACATAGTAGTCCACGGGTGAATATGTGGAAGTGTCAAAGAAATATCAATTTGCCGGCGAAGAGATTAAGTAAGTTATATTTTCTATCACTACCTTGCCTTGATTTGGCGTGACTTCGTGTCTGTTTGGATGTGTTCCACGTCAGGCGGCAGAATTCAGTTATTGTTCTCGCACCCTTAATTGTGTTTGTGCATCTAAGCTAATGCCTTCAGTGCACAGCTCCCTTCCCGATTCCCCAAATTAACAGTCCATTGACAGTTCTGTATTTACGCACCAATTTATCAGCTCCCGCCTCCAACGCGTAGCTACCTACCCCACATCCCCAAATCATTGGTGAACGAAACGGTGACAGCTACAGTCACTGTAAGACAAGTACGCGGTTCTTACAGCTGATGGTGATGATGATAAAATTACTTGGTTTCCGGTTTGAATGGTCTGAAACAATTTTGAAATCTGAAGTTCAGAATCCTTCCTGCAGTTGAAACATATGTGCGCTTGATTTGTTTCATCCTTGGAAATAATTGTCGGCAGTGCGTATCCTACAAATACCAGGGAAACCGAATCGGTCACCTGAATTGGACTGACCACAACTTGAGTACGAAAAGCTAATCATCGATGAGACTACTTTGCACCTCTATCGGATAACGTTAATCACTCTCAATAGTAATAATAATATCCATAGGCATAAGTGTCATCGTTGACACTAATGCTTAATTGACATAGACCAACCATATTCGAAGCCTTAAGGTGGACGGAAAGGGGACCTCGCGGTAACGCACCGTAAGCATTTAAAGCTGCGCTCAATCAGGCAACTTGGAGGGAAGCGAACGCCACTGACATCGATTAACCGCCGTTTCCTGCAGTTTCTTCAACCAGGCACAGAAAGTTACATAAACCATCATAGAAGGTGTTCCGCACCGTCAACACTTAAAACTTACCGTTAGTTTCCCCCATGCCCATCTGTTCCTAGTTTATTTACTGCATGAAGGTCAGAAACTTTACATCCTGAGGCTTAACTTTTAGCTTTGTAGGGGCGAATGAGATCCCGATAGATGAGATTTTGGTGATCCCTTTATTCAACACTGCTTGTGCTTTACTTTCGTCTTCAAAGTTTAGGACGGTATCGCCTGTGTACTCGACGAGATTCTCATCAGTATACATCTCTGCCGGACACCAATTATTGTAGGGGAGGTTTCATATACCTACCTCTCCATACAGTCTTATACACCAGGTGGCGAGATGGCTCAGTGATTAGAGTGCGAGTTTACTGATCGGAAGGTCCATGGTTCGAACCCGACCCTTTCCTCTCAACTCCTCCCTGTCTAGGCTTGGGCAGTATCCCAGCCCTCGTGCTTACTATGGGTGGCATGGTAGTTAGGCACCAAAAGGGTGCTACACCATTAAGTATGCGAAACCCAGCCCTCGTACTATGGGTGGCATGGTAGTTAGGCACCAAAAGGGTGCTACACCATTAAGTATGCGAAAATAAGGGCCAGATTATATTCACGAACTTCTGGGACTTCTTCCGTTAAGTAAGTGTTCTCAGAAGTGTTGACTGATCGGCAGCATCGAACACGTCCTCGAAGTCAAGGACCACCAAGATTGTGGGTCGTTTGTGCATATGGCTTTTCTCCGACACCTGACGGATTGCTAAGATTGGTCGATATAACCTCTAACTAGTTGGAATACCACTTGGTGCTCACAGGTCAAGGCTTCGCTTGCCTGGTTTGGAGGGGGAAGAAAAAATTGAAAAGGAAATAGGGGAGGTGTCAGCATCCACTTGTTTTCATTCACCCACCCTGCTGTACGCAGCAAGTAAGATGATCCAGCTGATGACACTATGCGACAGTCGATGTGGCATGAGACAATTTTGGTAGTAGGAATGGTGATTGTGTGTAAGCTGTGATATTTCCAGGTCGATTAGGGTCCTAATTCAGTGTTTCGGCTTAAGAGCTTGACGGAAAGTGAGTGCATTATTTTTTAAAAGAAAGCCGCTGCGCATGTTCCAACCTCCAACCTGGGAGACCATATGACTATGTTGGTCAGACCTCTAAACATTTGATAACCTACTACGAGAGATTCTGTGAATGTCGGACGAATACCCCGCACCATAGTTCTGTGTCATGGAAGCGCACAAGGCCTCACACCATGGTAAATCCAGTCTCTTGGTGACCGCAACAAAGGGGAATAGATTTAGGGAAAAACAGTTGCGGTGTTTCAGAGAGCAGCATGGCAGCTACGGGTGGATCGGGTCACAGTTATCTGGAATTCGCCTCTCTGATAAATAGATGAAACGGAGTAGAACAAGCTCAGAGGTGATGGACCGAACTGACACTACAGTTCACACCACAAATGTTACGGAGGTTGGTCCATAAGGTGCGTGCTCTGATATTCGTTTTTTTGTGATTGTTCATGTTTGACTGGCAAATTCAGTGGCTCGGAGCGACGAATCACATAAAGGTCCTACAAATAGAAGCACTGAAGCAGTAGACACCTGTCATATACTCTATCAGTTCTATACAATCCTCGTAGAGTGCACTAGAGCCACGCTTCCCAGGAGTATAACAAGCGAGTTCATAAGGTAAGCTTGTTTTCGGCGTTAAAGCCTCGTGTTCTAACTAGAACTTTTTGGCTGTGTATTATGTCTGCAAAACCTATACATTCGCATAAAATATATCCCGAAATGACAGAAGCTAACAAGCTTGGAGCGTTCATCTAGGTATTACTAGGGTATCCTCCGAAACGTGGTATACTGTGTTAGCTGGATGAGAACCCCGGCAGCTTTTGGTAAGGTGGCTCCAACTTCGTGTTGACTTTGTTCACTGTAGTGATGCCAACACGGTGAGGCATTGCCGGAGTTTTGTTCCAGAGCCGAGCATTCGAACTTTCGGCAAATAGCTGATTTCCGTGCGCTAGTCGTGCAAGAGTCTCATGGTTGATTGGCTTTGTCTACAATATCCAGAATTTCTCCAACACTCGGCTTTCGCAGCCACTGGTTCTTTGTTTATAGTTTCTGCCTATCAATGGTTTATCTGTATCCCTCATTTAACAAAGGGTATTTTTTGCTGGTAGCTGACAACTATCCTGTTATACCAGGCGTATTCAAACTGTTGACGTTGGAGATCTCAGCTCACGAACAGGACGTTCGAATTGGTGGCCTGCTTCGCGTAGGTTCAAGACGTAATGTTGATGGTGAGAGTCTTTGAAGCTTCATGTTGATCACCAATTGATAGTTACTCCTCCCATCAATATTGTGGCTGTTCTCTGCTGAAAGGAATAATTGCATATCGATCACCGATTCCATCGAGTTACGGACAACCCAAATGTTCAAACAGCAAAGCAGCTATTAATCTAGGGCTTCGAGTGTCATTCATAAGTTTCAACTCACAAAGGCCAAGTTGATACAAACGTCAGAAACAAAACCCCACAACATAGTTTTGGCCTGTTAAGACAAATGCAAATGCAGTTATTTTACTTCTGTTCAAGTGATGATAGTTCACGCAAACTAGCCCCGATGGGACGCCCCCACGAAACCGACCGATGACACTGGATTGGTTTGATGCATGAGTGATTTACACCGCTTGTACTATTGTAGTAAGAATGCGAGGTTTCGTTTTCGTCCCAGCAGATGTTCCTTACATGCAGTCAACATAAGGAGGAAGACAACTGTGGACGAAACCAATAAGTAAATAAACCAATCGGGTCCGCTATCCTACCGCTGATGGACGTTGATGAAACATATTGAGGTTTTGTTTGCAGATAGGCTCGCTTTTAGCTTGGTTCATAGGCATGAACTTACTAGTCGATTCACTCTATACTTCTGAAAGATGTTTTTGGGTCAAACCCGTTGACGGTCGCTTAGACAGCGGCTTTCGGAGTTTGAGCTGGGTCTTGTTTCCATCGATTGAGCGGTCACCTGCATGAAATGGCAGGACCCATTTTCCGAGACTTTTTTAGACGATTCCCGGCCTGTTCTCTCAATGCGGTAGTCACCTCAGCTGTAAGTGGATTGATGTATTACATGTTGCGCAGAAACACTGAATTAATCACTTCTTGAAGTGCTTAGGTTACTGCCTCGTTGCCCATAACTACTGCAGCTCGTAATTTATCTGATGAACAGCCGCCTTTAAGTTGTAATCTGATGAAAGCATGCTTCTTCCTGAGTGTGCGAATGCCCCCTGTTGCGATTTGTTATCTTGTGGACGTTAAAAATCCCGGTTGCACCAATGCGAAATCTCGTGAATTCAACCGGGAACACAGATAAATGAATGAGTACGTACTAGATTCACCTCTCTTGTTCCGGTGAAACTTGATACTTGGAAGCCCACTGCGAACCCCATCGAGAGTACCATCTGGGCGTTTGGTAAGGTCCAAAAAACAAGTAAATACGAATGGCTCACGATTTTGAAAGTGTTCAGAATGGGCAGAATCGGCTGTATCGTCTACTGGGGACGCAGTACAACGAAGAGTGCAGTAGTTATAAGACACGAGGACACGATGCGACTTAGAAGAGGCTATCAGGCAAACTGGTCCAGCTCAGAGAGACTAAGATGGCTCACTCTTTGCTGACATTCGTTGGGACGCCTGACTTACTGCCGAAATCAAAAGGACATTGTCGTCAGCTAGATACTTCAAGGAAGCGAAGCCAATACCACCAGCCTTGGCATATCACAATTATCTTTTCGGAGGCCTCGATTGAACTCATCCTCGAAGGTCAGACCTGACGTGTCTCCAAGTGGCATACGAACGTCTAAGGTCTGTTCCTAGGATTCCGGAAGTATTAGCGTGTCCTCACTCTTTGACCATCCAACTTTTAATCAAGGCCACACATCTGCGCCGAACAAATTGTTTTCCAGCTGGAGACATCGACTGTGACCGACTTGTAACGGTTTGAATGCTCTTTCCGGTAATCCATGTCAGGTTAGGTCAGTAGTTGCGATCTGATGCATGTGCAGGAAAGTAAGTCCATGGGTGAAACCAGCGTAACTGATCGCGCCACGAAAAATCCAACTGCAATAAAAATAGTGACAGAACACCTCTGCAGTTCATTCATTTTAGGCTACCCTGTGTCCAAAAATATTCTGATAAGGAGTCACACTCCTCAGGCCAGACACCCTCTTGCATTGCATTAAATCTTTACGTTTTCATCAAAACACATGAAGACTCATGTTGAGAGGTCTCTATTTTCTCATTGATGCATCTAAGTGGTCGCGTGACGGTATAAAATGAAAAAGGTTCTCATATGTGGACTGTTATCCGTGTGAGCAGATAGCACAAATAATTTGAAAATTGAAAACAAACTTTAGTTTGTAGCCGATTATTTAAGCCAAAAGTTTGAACAGAGCTTCAAGACACCATGAATGCCGATATGCATTGGCCTCATTTCCTCTCTCTCCATCCCATGATGTCCGTCGACATCTTGGTGCATCATCCAATTAACTGCAGTTTGACAGCGTACTGGATAGGGGAAATTCGTATCGCACTAAAGACAGCAAGTCGAAGGTTTTGTCACTTCTTCTTCATATATACAGATACATGCTATCATAGCCGCTTAGTATGACCTCAAGTAGCTAATTAACTCCAAATGGATTCCTCCCGATCCTATTATGTTCGACAGTGTTTGTCTTTTTACGGAGTCGAGCGCCGATGAAGCAGCCAACAGCTGGCTGTTGAAATTTGGTATCGTTGTTCTAGAGCGTAGATCTGCTCTCTCCAACCCTTTCTTGAGCGAAAACCTGTCTGACTTGGAATTGAACTTTTCAAGAATACGGTTCCTTGAGGTACTGTGCTGTCCGGTGCGGAAATTCCAGAAACCAGCGCCTACAAGCGAGTTGCGCTTCGGTATTTTATCAACAGCGTACCACAAAACTCCTCTCTGATGTGCTTATCAGAACCAAGTGTCGGTGTATACACGGCTATGATGGTGATGTTGGTTGGCTTGAATGACAATAGCGCGTTTTGAGACAGGCAGCATATATGTTCGATCGGGCTATCCAAGCAGACAGAGCGATGCAAGGTGACACTTGGATCCGAAACCCACCATCGTTGACCGCAAAACATTTCTGAAACAGAAGCCACCAAGTTACCTCTAAGCGTTTTTTTTCACTGTCATCACGAGATCGCATACCCTGTTTGACCGCTTTATTTTGAGCGAGCTGGGTGTATCATGATGTTGGGGCAGGATGGCTGTGAGTGAAGCGCGAATTTACTGACCGGAAGGTCCGCGGTTCGAACCCGATCTCTGCCTCTGGACTTTCCTGTGTAGGCTTGGGGAACCTGAAAGTATCCCAGCCCTCGTGCTTTCTTTGGCTGGCATAGCAGCTAGGCATCGAAAGGGTGTTACTGTTGGGCGATTTTTTATTTTTCTAAACTGGTTTTGTATATGTCTGATGGCATATTAACCGTCGTTCTTAGGTTTCCAGCTGTTAAAAATGAATGCCGTCAAGTTCATCCGTACACGTTAAAAACCTTAACAGAAGTATTCGTCTCCATGCTCCGCTGAATTTATCACTGATCGCACGCATCGTTTGGAGCCTTTTTCGTATTACAGCCCATTCTTCATGGTATATGGATCAGAACCCTTGTCTGTTGGTTTCATTGCGCGGATATTCCCAGAACACCTAGTCTCACCCAGTTCATTCCTTTACAAAAGTACGTCCGTATCACTGTTCACTTTTATGACTCGTCACTCCCGGCATTTTCAACATGTTTTTTTAGGGTCACAGAGCGTGTTTCAGTGAAAAACAATGCATGTCAGGGCGAAACAGTTTCAACTTTAGAGCGAAAGACAATTGTACACGACGGTGATAACGTCTCCGACTCCCATAGTGCAAAGAAACCTCTCAGGTGAGTAACAGTGTGTTGTGCTGTGCACCAAAGATGCCCATAACAAGTCTCGTCGAATTCTTTGAGTCAACCAGAAACGACCCTGTTCATGCACATTAAGCTGACCTTCAACTGCCTTCGTGTGGTGGGTGTCAGTTATTAGGAACCTGGAGTGGTCTGACTTGGCCGCACGGATGTTTTCATCAACGTGTATGCGTTCACACCATCATTACTAGAGGCTGGACAATATTGACTTCGTCTGAATCCAGTCGTTTACTTAAGTAGGCCTCCTCAGAAGGTAGCCAACAACGTAATAGTAGCCCGAAACACCAAGATCGATAGCGACGGCGTTTTTTGTTCGAACAAAAGGCCTTCCCCCGTCAGTACAAGGGGGTACCGAAATCACTTCATTTGGTGCTAACTTGTTGGTTTATGCACGTTCCCAGTTCGTCCTTAGTGTAGCTGAGGCAGGGTCAAACGTAATCCTGTTTTGTGAGTTGGTGCCGTTCACCAGTTTTATCTCAACAAACACTTTTAAAGGCTAATCACGGCGTTGTTTTGTTTGCTTTCTTGCTGCAAGTGTCAACTCACCAGTGAAACCAACTACCATCAAGTCCAATGGATTGGCAACTGCTTTAAACAACCTCAAGTCACTCACGGGCAATAAACTTCCCAAGCTGAGCACCCTAGTAAGTGTGACACCCATCTCTTGAGATGGGATTCCAAAATTTTAAGTTCGTTTTCATGAAATTCGCTTTGACGATGCATATAAGTCGTTCGACATCAGAATCATGCAATTCTGCTGACTTGAGCGCAGTTTTGTGCCTGCAGTCTCTTAGTGGGCTTTTTTGCAACCATGACTTATATTTTATCCTTATATCTTCACATTCTAATCCTGTTCCCATTCACTGGAGGCGATTCTTCCCCTCGGAACTCATTGACCAGGGTTTAATTGACACTCTTAGTTCCTGTAGAATAACTCAGGGTTGAATGAGTTTAGACGCTGCTGCTTTGTTCGACCCAAACCGCATGACAGAACAAAGCTGTTTCATCAGAGCTGTGGATGTCTCGGCTCATCTGTCTATCCTGCATGTTACTTGCTCCTTTGAGTGACTGAAGCCTGTCAGCTGTAGTCGTTGACCGAAGCCAATAAGAGTGTTGTGACACTGACAAATAGAAGTTGAAAACAGCGCTGCTTCTGCCACTGTCCCGGGAGTGAGCGCTGAACCCTATGGTATATGCATGTAGGAACCAGATTCAGATGACTTATAACGGATATCATCTGCTTACTGAAATTTGATAGGATAAGTGTGCTAGTTCGATGTCACCAGCCCTCGAATTCAAGAGAATAACTTCGGTGTTCTGGTACTGAAATATGTCAAAGTATCATGTAATATCCGGTTAACACTATCATTGTTCATTGGTCCTCAGCACCACTATACAACATTCATTTAGGAGAGCAGGAGTGAAGATGGCCATCTGGATGCGGTTTTGTCTCGGTTTTTGTCATGAAAAAGTGGAATAAGAAGAAGCTGGCGGTACCGACCCATTACGGTCGCTCTAGTGGTCACAGCGAAAACCCACATTGTAGCGGTGTTTCTGTATAGTAAAGGAAAAGTCGCGGACATTTTCTTATCTGAATCCTAATCGCAGTGTAATACACCCGCTAGTGTTGCGTCATTGGCTTTGGACTGCGTTAGCTTGACCATACCTCAGTCCTTCCGCTTCCTTCTTATTGCAAGCAGCCAAACACCGGACAGGTGCTGGGGATCACCATTGAGTCCAACGCCTCAACTCTAAGGGCATGCTAGCAGGGAATTAACAACTCCTCGGTATCAGTCAAACTACAGGAAGACACTTCGTTTCTTGGAGGATCCGTGTGTTTGTGTTATCCATGCTGGTTGAGCTGTGTCAGCGGCGTTCATTTAAGGCATTTTCACAGGTGCACTCAACTTATTTGACATAGCCACAGAAGATTGAGTACAGAGATATTTCGCAGTGTCAACTAACAAAACCCACGGCTTGTTGGTGATTTAGGGTACTCTCCTTGCTTAAAAACCCTAAGAGGTTCCCATTTGAACTTTGTCCCCATTCCCTTAGTCATTTTCCTCACATTGGGAACTACCTGGTGATTTAATTCTGCGCGCTTTTCTTCAGGAGAAATCACGGATGGATTGGCAAAACTTCATACGAAAAGAGAATATCGAGGACGACTTAAAGGCGCATAACAAAGGCAAGCAAGGCAAAGTTGTGGCATTCATCTTCTTATATTATATATATATATATATATCGTAAATTAGTCCACCTCTATAGGAAGCCACAGTTTTTGTCATACAGGTGTTTCTCTGTGGAG